ACACACACTCATCTCAGACGTATAGCAGGCAGCTGTCAGTTTACCATGTGTTATGAGCCAAGCCCACCCATATCTGGGGTTACAACTTTCTGTCCAGTTTCAAATAACTTCCCCCATTTGATATCCACACACTACAACCCTTGCTTTCCCTTGCTCAGCCCACATTCGGCAGATACGGGAATAGGGCAGTGGAGTGAACGGGGAAGAAAGGAATCTAAGAGACATTAAGATTTTTGTTTTGGGTGACTGAATAGGTGCTGATGTAACTTACCAAAAATGCAGAAAGCAGGCCGGGCATGGTGGCTCACGCCCATAATTCCAGCACTTTGGGAGCCTGAGGCAGAAGGATCACTTGAGGCCAGGAGTTTGAGACCACTCTGGGCAACATAGCAAGACCCCATCTCTACATAAAATTTAAAAATTAGCTGAGTGTGGTGGCACATGCCTATATTCCCAGCACGCGCCACCCATCTCAGGAGGTTGAAATGGGAGGATCTCTTGAGCCCAGGAGGTTGCAGTGAACTATGAAGATGCCACTTCATTCTAGCCTGGGCAAGAGCAAGACCCTGTCTCAAAAAAAAAAAAAAAAAAAATCCAGGAAGCCAAGCAAGTAAGGAGAGAAGATGATGAGTCCTGTTTTGGATACAAATACTCAGATAGGCAGCTGGATCTGGGGATCTGAAGCTCAGCAGAGAGCTCAGATTTAGAAACAGTCTCCAGTAGTGTGTGGGTGGTGGTAGTGAATGAGCTCACACTGCCCCAGGAAGCCCAACATGATTAAGAAGCATCAAAGGAGAAAGAAGCAAAGGAAAAGACAGTGAGTGGTCAGAGGTGGTGGAGGACAACCAAGAGGACAAGGGAAGATAGAGTTTTGAAAAGGAGTGGTCAGCATTACTTGACCATTCATTAGGGGTTTCGTTGGTCTGGAACTTGGTCGGGTATTATCTCATTTAATCCTCATAGCCATCCTGAGGTGTACCCCATAGTATACACGTGTTCAAAAAAGAAATGGAGGTTCAGATTTGTTGAGTAAGTCACCCAGTTGCACGTGGTAAAAGACGGAAGCAATATACAAAGCCCCGTCTCCCCCTCTCCACGCTGGGGTTCCTCCTGTCGGGCGCACTGTCTCCTCCATGGAGGAGGCTAAAGCCAGGTTTGATGGGTTAAGGAGTGAATGGTAGGGTTGGGGGAGAATATTAAGAAATAAAGCAGATTACTTGGAGAGGAGAAACCTAAGGGAAGAAGTGAAGGCTGTTTTTGTTTATTTTAGGATGAGGGTGATATGAACATTGGCTCATTCATTCAGCAAGCATTCATTCATGCAGAACACTTACTTCTGGGCACTGAGGATTTAGCTATAAATAAGCCAGAGTCCCTAAACTTGTGAAGTTTACATTTTAATGGGAGTATCAAGCAATAAACAAACAAACCATTGCTAAATATATCCTTGTACATGGAGGTAGGTGCTACTAAGTACAAGCAAAGCAGGGTGAGCTCAGCGTGCTGGGGTGGGGAGGGCCATGGTGGGTGGGCAGGGAGCAGGGAAGGCCTCTGAAGAGGTCTTGAGCAAGGGAATGGCTCAATCTGGATTTAAGTGGAGATGAAAAAGGCAGTGGGCAGGGAAGGGGCAAGGGGAGGTGACTCCTCTTTGCCAGGGACAGACCCTTGGTGGCAAGGAGCGATCCCTCTTCCTCTGAACAGGAAGATGGGGCAGTGTGGGGGGCTCAGAGGGCACGTGAACTAGAGGTGGGAGAGCAGGAGCAATGGGAATTACTGAGGGGTCACAGCATGCCGTCGGGGAGGGATGCTGGCATTGGCTTCGGAGGAACAGGCCCGGTGATGCCAAAGCCTGGGGGATGGCCTCTACTCCAGTGACATTTTTAAAGTACTGCCTGTCTCCACAAGCTTTGGAGAGTGCCTTCACCACCAGCTGACTTTGGGCAAGTTGCTTAATCTCTCTAAGCCTGTTTCCTCATCTGAGAATAAGAATAATATTCATAACATCCTCATCCTAGGGCTGCTGTGAGGAAGAAACAGAATAAATGTGGGGCATATACCCTGCCCACGAGCAAACCCCGTCTCTGAGATCTAATCGCTGACCCCCGGAGGGCCTCCTGCCGCTGTCTTTGTACTGCAGCTCTGCTTCCTGCAGCTGCACTCCCGGGAAACGCAGGTAACAGAATTTGGCATAAGCTTCTGATCCTGCCTGCGTTGCCTTGGTTTCCAAACATGACATTTCCTGACAACACAGTAGAAACTTTACCTGGCCTCTGTCTCACCAGGTGCCATTTCCACACAGCCAGTGGTGTCCCAGTGTCAAGAAACTGTTCTCTCCTGCTTCCAGGAGCATGTGTGTGCGTGAGACAGTGCGTGTGCATGCGTGTCCTTGTGCGCACATAGCGGGGTGGGCAGAGCTTCCTGTCAGCCCCTTCCTGAATCAGACAGGCCATGCCAAGAAGCTGAGCCCAGCTCTCTCTCTGGTGTCCTGTGACCTCGAGGACCAAATACTCATGTCAGCATCACAAGGGCCAGAGAGTTGAGGCAGCAGGCGGACCGGGCCGGACCCCGCACTCTCACTCGCGAGGCCAGGTTCCTCCTGCTGCAGTGTTCGTGCGAGAATCGACGCTTTGAGCTCTGAGGAGCACATCATGTCTGAGTGTGAGTGTGAGCTCTGGGCCTTGGGGGTCTTGCCCCTAAGGGGCAGCTGAAGATCTAAAGAGGAGTGGATGGGGGCCTGTCCCTGGGCCGTGGGCTCAGGAGAGCTCACCCCATGGAGGGGGCAGAGCTGGGGGCTGGGGGCAAATGTGGGGGCAAGTCTGTACCTCAGGCCCTGTGTAGGTGTTGGACTTCTCTAGGCAGGAGTTTCTGGGACATCAGGGCCCCCACAGGTTCCCCAGTCCCTCCCCAGACCCCAACCCACATGAGCCACCACAGCCTGCTGCCTTGGGCCACTCTGGAGTCTCAACTTTGTGTCCCTTCCAAAGGGAAGAAGGAACCTGCCTCCCACACGGTGTCCTGGTCTAAGGAAATGCCAGCCAGGGATATATGGCTGGGGGGGCATGGCCAGGTCCAGTGACATCGTGCTCCCTCCCCTTTCCCTCCCAAGGGGATTCTAGGAGTTGAGATGAGAAGGCTGTCCATGGTCACATTTTACAGACTAATAAACTTCAGTGGACCTTCCTTCCCTAAAAATATAGCCTCTAGAAGACTATAGTTCCTGTGCTTTCATGAGATAAAATCTAAGAAAAGTATTTCCACACAAATAATTTTTGTTTGCAAAAGTGATTGACCCTGGGTGGCCCGATATTGACAGAAGGTGAGTGGCATCAACGAGCATGAACGGGCCGGCTCTGCTCAGTCCCCCATCCCCGCTGCCACCCCCCTTCTCCCTGGGGTGTGTTGGCCTCACTGGGTCTGTCTGTGTCTTTCTAACTGTACATCCCAGCATGACCATGTGTCCTCCCTCTGCCCATTCGTGTGCGGTCTCTCAGCCTCCCTGTTTCCTCAGCAGATGTCCGCGAGGCCTCAGGACAAACAAGGGATCTGTGTGTCTGTCCTTCTGTCAGGGGAGCTTTGCTATCTACACAGGTTATTGGGCCTGGGGCTCCCACGGGAGTCTACACACCAGGCTGGGGAGGGGCTTCCTTTTTCCAGAAGGAGGTGCTGCTGGGCTAGTGAGGGGCACAGGCCTATCCGAGATGGCCTGAGGTCAACAGGCAAGGGATGCTGGGTCGGGGCCTGGGGCACAGGCCAGTCCCGTCAGGAGGCATCACTGAAGACCCCACATCCCAGGGAAAAAGGCTGCGTGTGAAACTGCCATGGCGGGGTGCTCCAGTGCTGAGAGAAAGCGACTGACGTCAGGCCCAGAGGGCGCCAGCTCCTGCCGCTTCCGCTCACAGCAGCCCTCTCGGACTTCAGGCGAGGCTGTAGCTGGTCCTCCTGCAGGAAGGGAAAGAAGCAGGGTCTGTCCTGCCACAGAGCCCCATGGAAGGTTCCGTGGCTGCTCCTCATCTTCCCAGCAACTCCCCTTCAACGCCTCCCTTCGCAAGCCCTGGTGACGAGGCTACACGCCTGTTCCTCCAAGTGCCATCAAGCAACTCCCCACCCCTTGTCACGCCCCGACGTGGAAAGCACCATCGCGGCATTAAGCTGCGGAAGAGTCTGAGCCATCGCCACGGAGCAGGGGGGCTGGCGACGCCACTCCCTGCCTGTCCCATGCCGGCCTGTGTGTGAGCACGTGCCCATGGCTCTGTAAGGTGAGCACGCGCGTGCTCGTGGACACAGCGGGCCGGGCGAGCCGGCACCGCAGCAGGTGTCAGCTCTGACTTGGCCTCGGACTCTGTGCTGGGCTCGTGGGATACACAGATGAACAAAGCACAGCCCCAGCCTTCAAGGTCCCCACAGCCTCCTGGGAAAGCCAGACAGTGAGCAGATCCTCCCCGTGCGGCGGGGCCGGTGCTCTGGTGGGGGAAGGGCAGGTCTCAGTGCAGCCTGTGGGAGGGAAGAGTGGAAGATTCGCAGGTGTCAGCTCCAGGGTGGATGCCGGTGCCATTCACCAAGACAGGGACGTGGACGGAGGAGCCAGTTAGGGGAAGAAGATGCGTTTAGAGCTCGTGGGGACTGATGGGCATCTCTGTGGGATTATCAGGTGGGGGTGTCCAAATGGGAGCGATATGTGGACCTGGAACTTAAAGGGCGTCCAGGGCAGAGGGGCAGCTTTAGGAGTCACCAGGCCCAAGAGGTGCTTGAGGCCAGGCAAGCAGATGAGGTCCCCAGGGGGCTGTGGAGAGCAAAAAGAACAGGGCAGCAAGGAGGGAGCCCATTGCCCGGTAGAGGGATTGTTTACCAGGTAATCCAGGGAAGAAGAGTGAGAAGGGGTGGCCAGAGTAGCGGAAGAACATCCGGGAGAAAAGGGAGTCACCGCACTAAGGAAAGAATCTCCCAAAGGCGGGAGTGTTCAGCTATCTGTGTGATTCTGCAGGGCGATCTGCTGGCTGGAGTTAGTCCCATGTCAGTGCGCGTCCCTGTGCCCGCCTGTGTGTGCCCGTGTGCTCGGGGGCCCACCTCCGAAGGCTCGGCTGGCGGGAGGTGTCCTGGCTCGGCCCCTTTGGAGCGGGGCCGGCCATGAGGATGCACAGCCCGGCGAGGATCATGCAGGTGGGCACAGCACTGATGAGGACCTTGAGCGTAACCACCACCTCCTCCGCCTGCTGGCAGGCTCCGGCCTTGTACCCCGCGAACCTGGAGAAACACCCACACCCAGCCGGTCACGTCCTGCAAGCCGGGCTCCCGGCTGGAGGGATCCCAGACACCCCACCCCCACTCTCCTGAAACTCGTACATTTCCTGGTCAGATTAGCCTCATTACAGTGCAGGGGAGTGTCAAGGGCGTAGGCTGACCAGGGAGTTTGGGGAGAGCTGTGAATGTGGGGAGCTGGGGCTCCAGCCTCCAAGAAAGCCCCTCTCGGTTGCGCTCGCACAGAGGAGTCTGGGGGAGGAGGCTCCTCACACTCCCCACAGGACAGAGCTCGGGCCCCAGGCTCATGGGCGGCCCCTAGCTGGGCAGGGTGAGACCTTGCCCTCTTCTTCTCTCCCACTGGTCCTTTGTGCCTCTGGCACATGCCCACCCTGACTCACTCCAGACTGAGGGTGGAGATGCCCAGGGCACCTGCGCCTGAAAGCTTCGTGAAGAAGACGTAGGAGGAATAGAAGATGGTCTCCACGCCTGGCCCGTGCCGGTGCTGCAGCTGAAAGTCATCCACCACGTCGGGCAGCATGGACCTGCGGGCGGGGAGGCACGGAGTTGTCCCTCTTATGCCCTGGACAGGCAGCAGCCTGTGAGTTCTCTGCAGACAGAGACCAAGTGGGATTCATCCCTGGGTTTCTGCTGTCCAGGACCAGCCTGGCCCCAGAGAGCCAGGCAATACGTGGGCCTGCACCCTCCCCCGCCCCCCGCATTCCTGCTGCTTGGTGCCCTAGTAGGAGGGCCCCATCGCCTGCACAGGCTGGGCACAGGGGACCTGGGACAGGAGGGTAACGTGAAGGAGGAAACACCCCTCATGAAAGTATATGAGGCTCCCACACCCCCATGCCCTCCCCGCAGCCTACCAGGGTAGCAGCAAGGACACAGCAATGCTCACGCCGGATACAAAGGCCACGACATATGCCACGGGTGCTGTGGGCACAGCAGCCAGCAAGATTGCAAAAGGCACCATCATCTGGGGAGACAGACACACCAGCTGGCCCCCCACCCGCTCCCCGGACTCTCTCCTTCACACACAGCTCTTTACCATGACCCCCACGCCTGGCCCTGTGCCAGGCTCTGAATACCCAAAAGGACACAGATCCAGTGCTACCGGCCCCAGGAGGCTCATCACCATGGTCACCTCCCCTGCCTCTTCCCCCAGTCGCCATCCCCCACCTTGCCCCCTGCCTCACGCACACAGATCCCGAAGGCCGTGGTCCTCTTCCCAAACCGTTGGAGCACCCACTCCCACAGCGGGGTGCTCAGCACGGCCGAGACCTGTGAGAGAGCAGTGTCTCTGCCCGGCTCTCAGAGCCCTGGCTTGCAGATGGGAGCCCGCACTCAACTCTGCCCCTGGTTTGAACCCGTGGCTATTAACTTCATGACCCTGGCCCCAGCCCCAGCCTCTGCTGGAACGCAGGCGACCAAGAGCAAAGCAACATCCAAAATGTTGACCATCCGAACTCCGGCCACACGTGTCACATCAAGGACCACACATATCCCCAACTTAGGCCCCCAAGTGTCCTGGCCTCTGCCACCCCGAGTCCCCTCACCAGGATGGTTAGCACCAGGCTCTGGACATGGTCGTGCAGCCGGGAGGCGTGTGTACAGAACAGGACCAGGTAGTTCTGCTCCACCTGAGGAGGTGGACAGGAATGCGTGTGCTGGGAACAGCAGAGGCTCAGAAGTTGAGGGCAAGGACAGGGCCTCAAGTCTGGCCTCTCCTTTGGGACCTTGAACTTGCCTTGCTGCCACCATCATGCAGCCCCTTCCCCCACAAAGGACACTTATCCCCAACACAGGGGAGCCCTAGGCCATCCTCCCCACTTGCACAGCTAAGAGCAGGTGGACTTCACTACATTTTAGGTAACATGAGAGGAAGCCACGCCAGACACTGTCAGCCTCCTAGCACCTAGGCCCTGCTCTCCTCAGTCCCACAATCCCTACCCAGGTCTCCGTCCTAGCACCAGCCCCTCTGGGCCATGTGCCAGCTGCAGATTTCTATAAAATTCAAGCCCGACTCTAATGCAGGGGTGCCGAGAGACTGAGCCCTGAACCTACACAAGGTCCGCATAGCTGGAGGCGAGGGAGTGGGGACCAGCTGGCCAGAGGTACCTGAACAGCAGCTGAGATGAACAGGAAGGAGACCACCAGCTTCAGGAAGGGTGGGTGGCAGGCAGTGAGGCCCAGGCCAGCCAGGAAGCTCAGGCCTTGGCCTGAGGCTGGGGCAGCGGCGTCTACACAGGAAGGTGACACTTTAGTTTGGCTGAGCTCAAAACCAACATCCACCCCCAAGAGGAGCCCCGCCCCCAGCTTCTGATTCCCCAGCCCTCACTATACCCCATACCTGGCCGCTCCTTCACCCCTAGGCAGAGCAGACCACTGCACACAGGGTAAATCACGACCACCACGGCGGCGGCAATGGAGTAGAGACAAGCCTGTGGGACAGGACAGAGCTGGGGTGGGGGCGATGTCTTTGGCTCGCGGAGGTAGCAACACCCAGGGCCAGGGCAGGAGCACCCCCTGATAGGAGCAGAGGGACCTGAGGCCCAAGCCCCAGGATGCCAGGTCCCCCTCCCCCAATCACCGCAGCAGGAGAGAGACCTAAGGGCCAGGATGGTCCTTCCACACCCATCCCCTCCGCCGACCTGCGCCTCCCGCATGGAAAGGAGGCCTCGGTGCCACCAGGGGTCAGCGTGCTCGCCCTCATTTTCTGAAGCAAACGTTTATTGCTGCTGACATCTGCATGCCAGGCTCCGAGGTTACAATGATGAATGAGTGACCCATTGACCCCCAATAAGGGGCTTGGGGTGGGAGGGGAAGACAGACCACGAGCAGGCAATTACAGCACAGTGAGATGCGCAATGACCCCGACAACACAGAAAACAGGACAGTGCTACCTGCCACTCAGGGAAGAATACACATGTAATGAAATGCATATAAAGACATGCAAGCGAGTGAGGGTCAGCCAAGTCAGGACACAGGCTGCCTCTGGGGAGGGCAGGAAGGAAAAAGGGGGCAGGATGGGGTCCCAGGTGTGGGTCCGTGCAGATGCCCTGGGCCTCATGCTCCAGAGGGGCGCTGCACTTGGGGTTTAATGCTCTGCTGTTGTTGTCTTGAAATTCTTGATAATTTTATTTGTGAATCTGTATTTTGTAAGTGAAGTCCAATGGTGGCATGGGCCACCCAGGGCTTCCAGTGTCAGTTCACATGTGGCTCCGTGCCAAGGGAGGGGTTCTCAGCCTCTTGCTCCCCACTCCTTGGCACCTTCCCCTCCCCAACCCTTAGCCACTGGCACCCTCGCTCTACCACATTGTGTCAGCAACTGGGCAGCATTGGGGAGGGGGCGTCGAGAGCCCTGAGTGGGGGCCGGTGCAGGGAGGGCTGGTCCAGGAGGGGCAAGGCCACAGCCCTAGGCTGGCAGCGCCAGGGTGAATTTGGAGAGCCGGGGGCTCCCACCCATCCCAATCCAGGCGCCTAGCAGATACCTAGCGGGACCCAGCGCTGGAGGTTGCAATCGCTTGGTGGGGCAGTGGGTCCAGTGGGAGAGGGAGATTGATTTCCCACGCTCCCCGAGGCCCTGCACTTTCATTTTGACTGTACACAGGCAAGGTGTGTAGCTGGCCCTGCAGACGGGCTTGGGGACAGGTGCACAAGGACTCCATTGTAATGCTTTCTTAAGTGAGTGGTGGGCCATGGGGATTTGTGCTATTATTCTCAGGATTTTGAAAGCTTGGTGGCGGGGAGGAGGACAGAATCCCCTGGAGGACTTGTTAAGATAGAGACTGCTGGGCCCATCCCAGAATTTGGGAATAGAAGGTCTGCGGTGGGCCCCGAGAATTTTCCTTCCTAATAAGTTCCCAGGTGAGGCTGATGCTGCTGGTCTGGGGACCATATTTTGATAACCACCACCTTGTGCCTTTTGTGACTCTGAAATTCACAAAATCTGAATATTCATTAATTTAAAAACAAGCAAAAAAGGCCAACGCAGAAGGGTGCAGGGCACACTGAGGAAGGGCCACAACCAAACCTGGGGAGGGGCGGCTGTGCCACGTCCCAAAGGCAAGGGCCACCCTTGCTCAAACTGCTTTCAGATGTCACCCTGACGTGCTGGGGAAGTGGCTGGAGGGGGGAGGCTGCTGCAGTGGGGGGCGGGTGGGCCAGGGGCCAGCAGTGGGATGCAGGGTAGTTGAACACATTCCAGAAGATTTTGGGTCTAGAAAATGGTCATGACTCGGCAATAGGCTGGAGGGGTGAGAGGGAGGAGGCAAGGAGCATGCCCAGGGTTCCAGGGGGAATAGAGAAGTAGAAGATAAACTTGGGATACAGCAGATGTGTATCCGCTATTTGCTGCAGAGGGACCTGCTGCCAGCGGCAGTGGGGCTGCTCGGCTTCCCCCGCTCATCTCACCACTTCCACGGGGTCAGGGTCGCCCGGCAGGACCGGTCATAGGAGAGGCTTTACCCAGAGCTGCAGGGACCCCAAACCTTTCTGCCGCCCCTCTCCCTGCCCCTGGCAGTCCCCTTCCTGTCCTCCCCTCGGGACGCTGCGCAGGTGTGCTGGAAGGAGCCGGGAGCGCGCAGACGGCCCCAGCAGACAGGTGGAGCAGCGGACCTAGAGGAAGGAGGCCACGCCACCCGGCAGGGGCGGTCCCGCCCGCCGCGGGCACTCACGGCATCTGGGGAGACGGCGGCTGGCTCGAGGACCACAGTGTCTTCGCAGCTGTGGGGCCCGTGGGCACCTGACACGATGAGCCCATGCACGGTGGCCCCCATCAGCGTCCCCGCCATCTCCAGGGTCATCCCTGAAGACAGGGCGCAGCAAGGTGACCGGACGGCCAGGCGCGGGGTCCCAGGGGCGCCCCTCCCGCAACCGCCGCACTCACGGTAGGCGGTGGCCGAGTCCCGCTCCCTCGGGCTGGGCGTCAGGAGCATGGTGAGCGCCGTGTAGGGCACCTGGAAGAACTGGGGCGCCCGGCAGGGCTTAGGACGGCCCCCCGCTTTGCCAGGCTAAGGCCGGCACCCACAGGCCGGAATGGCACATTCCAACTGCTCCCCGGGAGCCGGGAGCCGGAGTTAGGGGCTCGAAGGCAGGAGGGGGCTTCCGGCGCAGCTAATGGTAGATTTCCAGGCACAGAGGGGAAGGTGAGGGCTGTGAGTCCCCCCGGAACACTTCAGAGTGGCCACTGGCCAGCACTGGGGTTCCCCAGAGTCCAGGCCCAGGAAGGGGGCGCCCTGCTTACCGTGGCCAGGGCCTGGAACAGGCAGTAGAAGGTTGTGTACCAGAGGCCGCGCAGGCTGGTGATAGGGGGCAGGAACCACAGGAAGAAGTAGGCCACGGCGACAAAGGGGGTGCAGCCCAGCACCCTGCAGAAGCACAGCTGAGGTGGAGCGGCCCCCAGCACCAGGCCAGGAAGACGCAGACGTGAAGGGCCCACCTAGCCAGGAACAACCTTACCCCTCTCTGCCCCTCGAGAAGCCCTGGGCTGGGGCTCTCAGGTAGAAGCCATGGAGAGGGGGAGGAGTGGCTGACGGAGGTGGAGGTGGTGGGAGTGGAGGCCATTCACTGCTGGGGCTCTGGGGGACTTGGGTGCTTGGTGGCGCCATTCCCTGTATTAAGGACACTGGAGCACAGGCAAGCTGTACTTCCTCCGTGAGACCTTCCATGGCCTCCAGCCCAGCCTAACTACACTTAGAGCCACAGGCCAAACCTGGGAGTCTTGGAGGCTTTGTCCAGCCCTGTGCCATCTGGTGAGCCAGGGTCCCCAAAATGTCTCTCAACTGCTGCATGACTCGCAGTGTGACCCAGTCCAGCCCCCAGCGCACCTGCTACACTGTTCAGTCTTATCCTCTAGCTGTCCAGAGGGTTTCCACTAAGAAACAGGGCTGTGGCAAACACAGCAAGCTCAGAGCCAGGGGTGGGCGCCCGGATCCTAGGGAGGGGCTGCTCACCAGGGCGTGAGTCGTCCTGACATGGACCTCCTGCTCCTGTTGATGAGGAACCCAGCTACTGGGTCGGCAGCTGCCCCAGACACTTTCCCTCCAAACAGGACCAGTGACACCTGAGCAGCAGGGATCTGAAATGGACAGGGGAGGGGATAGACAGCAGTCCGCCCGGCCTGCCCCACAAGGACACTGATGAGGAGGGTTGGGGGTGAGTCTGCACTAGCGAAGAAAGGGGCCAGGGAGGGAGCTGACAGCAGCATTATTACCCATGTCAGCCACTTCTAGAGAGGACTCCGGGGGCTCTCATCTAGGGGGTGGCTCGGAGCAAGGAGGGTGCGCCTGGGCTGACAGTCAGAGGTAGACATTGTTTCACAAGGAAAATGTTGTATTGGTTTTTCTGACTACATAAATGATACACTCAGTAGAAAAACATTCAAACAATACAGGAAAACATTAAGTGAAGCTCATGTGCAATCCCACCATGCTGAGACAACTGCCAGAACAATTTTGATGATCATCCTTTCATGCATTTGTGTTTGAAATTTATAATTTTACATAAAGGGGCTCATATCAGAGTGTTATTTAAAAAATCATGGATGCCTCATTTAAAAAATTTGATTTTACTTACCCTCTATCCTCCACCACTCCCTCCTATAGCCAACATTAACAATTTGGTGTATATCCTTCTAGGATTTTCTCCATGCTCAATTTTAATCATGTATAGATGCATACATACATATGCCCATATGAATATACATATGGAGCATGTTTTTGTTTTGCTAAAATGGGATCATATCTTCTTCTCTAAAACTAGCTTTTCTTATTTGACAGATCATGGATATCCTTCCAAAAGAATGGTACAGATCATTCTTTTGAATGGTTGTCCAAGAGTCCATCATGTGGACTAGCTTACTTACCCAACTGCTTCTATAATGTTGGGTTACCACATTGTTTCTCATTTTCCTACTACGAACAGGCTGCAATAGACATCCTCGAGCAGACCGCCCTCGAGAGCATCTGGCTTTCTGTCGGGCTTGGGTCAGAGGTGCTGTCTACCGAGGATGGCGGGAGTGGACGGGTGCGGGTGGAAGGCCCTGACAGCAAGGAAGATGCCAGTGGGAGACCCTGGGCGGCTGCCCACACTCACCTGTGCCACATCAAGCAGGAAGAGCTGTAGGTAAAAGGCTGTGGCACTGGAAGCCACCTGGTTGGGGACCCCACCAATGCCATAGCACACCTTCGTACAGAAAGAGAGGCGATCAGCTCTGCTGTCCTGGAGGAGACAGAGGTGTTAAGCTCCTACCCCCACAGACACAAAACAGCTCCCCACACCACCGCGGCTTCCATAAGGTCCCTATGATGTCTTGAGGGCTTTTACTGTAACCGCTCAGCTCCATTTTGCCCCTAAATCATCCTAAGGGGAAGTGAGACAGAAAAAAAAAAAATCCTAAACCGTGACCTCTAAACATTTCCAGGGGGAAGTTCTTCCTTACATTTCCCCCTATACTTCCTGCTGCGGTAGCTTTAACCTACTGAGTCAGCAGGCCAGAGCTGGGAGACCTGGGCTTGAGCCCTTTTTTTTGCCCGTACTCCCTGTGTGACCTTTCTTTCTCTAAGCCTTGTTTTCCTTATCTGTCAAATGCAGTAGATATCCCTGCCAACCTCACAAGCTTGTTTTGATGAGTAAATGGGGCAATGGCTCTGAGAGCAGATTGTCAAATGTTCAAGACCTTTGCGAGCCAGCTGTTGAACCACTGGCAGCCTGAAATCAGTTACAGTGAGTATTTAAAACACTGAAAGCCAGTACCCAAAACAAATCAGAACTTCCCCACCCCCACTGTTTACCAGCCTACTACTGAAACAAAGTAATGTTTATCAGCCCCCAATATATATATCTCACAAGCCCTAACCATCCTGCAAACTCCAGACTATGACACCCAGACTTGAATACTTGAATATTCAATTGCCTACTTACAGTCCCACATGGACGCCTGACAGGCATCAGCTTAGCATGGTCAAAACATAGATTCTGATTTCCATCCCGTTTTCTAAACCAGCTCCTAGCCCTGTGGTCCCCATTGCATCAATGACACCACTGTCCCCTCTGTGGCTCAGGCCACAAACCTAGGATTCATCCTTGCTTCTTCTTCCCAATTCCCCATCTCTTCTATCAGTGAGCACCTCCTAAGTGGATTCTCTGCTTCTGCTCTTGTTCCCTGTGATCCACTCTCCACCCAGCAGCCAGTGATCCTGTAGTGATATAAATCAGACCCTGTCTTCTTGCTGCTTAAAACCTTCCAACAGCTTGCCATTACAGTTTGAATAAAACTCCAAGTCCTCTCTATAGCCTAATGAGCCCACTCCATCAGCTCTCACTGCCTTGCCCACCTCACTTCGAATAGCTCTCCTTCAGCCGTGGTGGCTTCCTTCCTAATGCCCAAGCCTGTCGGTGCCTCAGGGCCTTTGCACTGCCTGGGAGGCTCTTCTATCTTCAAAGAGCTGACTCCTTGCCATTCAGGTCTGAGCCTAAATGTCACCTCACACTCCCTGACCACTCAAGTCTCTCTCTCAATTGTATTTTACTGCCTGGTATACTCCCATTTATTAATATTTCCTGGCTCTCCCCACTGAGAGCAAGAACTGTAACTTTTATTTGCTATGGTGTCTCCAGTACCTGGAACAATGCTTGGTATACAGCAGGTGCTCAATATGTATTCACTGAAACAATAAATGGCCATGAAAACACTGTGTACAGTGCTATTTCTTCAAAGGATGATGAGGATGCTTCTTTCTCATCCTTTGTGGATGGGAGGGGGAGTGGGGAGGACTCTGGCTTCACCCATTTCGGTATCTCGCAGGACACCGCAAGCAGGCTCTGCTGAAGGCAGGTCTTCCCAGATAGGGTTTATCACATCCTTTGCACACTCTTCCTACCCACAGGAGAAAACCACACTCAAGGCAGGATGTGTTTTCTTTTTCTGATATTTGTGTGAACATTATTTCAACTTCCAGGAAACTTTAAAAATAGGCAGAATCCACATGACAGCCTTCCCCGCCCCCATAACGGGACTCTCGTCGTTTCCCCCTAGATGGGCCTAGCAAGTCTGTAGAACATAGAAGGCGCTCAAAAGAAATTCCAGCTGAAACTAGGGATACGGTACGGCCTTGGAGTCTTGAGGATGACAGTTTTACCTACTTATGTCATAGCCCTTCACAGTTTTATAGTCAGAGAAACTCGGATTCAAATTCTGGGATCTGCCATTTCTCACTGTGTCACCTAAGGAAGGTACTTAGCCTTGCAGAGCTTCGGTTTCCTCCCACGTAGAATGGGACAATACATCTCGCAGGGTTGTAAGAATTAAATGCTGGTACTTCACTGCCAATGTTCGTTTTCCCTCTTGCTGTTGTTAGTCGCACCCTGAATTTCTAAATTTCCCTGGGAAGCGAGAGTCCCCAGAGAGCCTCCTTATCTCACTCTCTTGGGGGACCCAGTCCTTGGCTCCGAAGTGCCCGGGAGGAAGCCCTGAGCCAAGGGGGCGGACGGAGGCGTCAAGCGAGGCCACAGAACGCCTCGTGGAGCGGGGAGCGGGGAGTGGATGTCCGGTTCTGCCAGACCCGGACAGCCCGGAGGTTCCTAACTCCAGCACAGCCGCCCTTGCCGCACGTGCGCAGCCCCTCGCGAGGGCATGGGGAGGCACCGAGGACACCGCCAGCTTCCAGCTGCCGGGAAGGCCATCCCTGGGGTCCGTCTCCCCAGGAGGGCCTGGTGCCTGGGCGACGCCAGGCTTCGCGGGTGACTGGGGAAGGGAGGCGGCCTCCTCGACGCACGGCTGAAGCCCCACCTGCCCAGGGCTCGGGGACCTCCGGGGGGGCCTGCGGTGGCCCGGACAAGAGCCCTGGTCTGGGAATCAGACCAGAGACGGGCGCCGGTCCCGCCGCGTTGAATGAACCCAGCGAGTTTCCTCACTCGTCTAGGACCCGGTTCTCTGTGGGGCGCCCCGGTATCCTCAGCCTCGTCGCTATCAACTGCCAAAGCCCCCAGAGGGGCGGTCCGTCCCGCAGCGCGGCCAGGCTGGGCGAGGGGCTGCGACGCGCCGCCCTCCAGCCCCGGGGACGCAGGCCGCCCCTCCTCCGCACGCATCCGCCCTCGACGCCCCCGCTTGCTCTCACCGGGCCGGGCTCCGAGGCGAGCGCTTCTAGTCGGCGCGGCGGCGCCTCCGCGGCTGGGGCCGGTCCAGGAGGCACCGCCATCGCGCACAGCTGCTCCCACGGCCGCCGGGGTCGCCTCGCCGTCCGCGCCCGCGGAGGGGCGGCTCCGCGCCAAGTGGGCGCGGCCGGGGGCGGTCTGGCCCAGCCGCCAGCAACGCGCGGGAAACCCGGGAACTGCGAGGTGCCGGGCTCCGTTTCCCCAAACACTCCCAGGGCCAATTCGCTGCGCGGAACGCCCGCACGTCCGCCAGGACTGTCTTCCTTGGGGGTAGGTCCCCAGGGAGTAAGCGCCCTGCGGGCCGGGGCGCGGGTGGGTCCCAGAGAGGTTCGCGCTAAACCCTCCTGCTAAATGCCCCGTGGGTAAAAGTTAGCAAAGAGTTTAAAGATGAAGCAATAGAAGCAACTTGTTCAAACTTAGATTACGGCTGAACAGGCTGTCAACCTGCTAAACTTGATATCGGATGCACAAAATACACATTTTTCAACTTCTCAAACAGAAGATGGGCATGTCCATGTAACTAAATTCTTGCCAGTGAACGCAAGCAGAGTGGTGTATGCGATATCCCAGAAAGGTCCTTAGAAGAGGAGGCAAACATTGACTGAAAATGCATCACAGACCTAAATGTAACGGCTAAAACTATAAAACTCAAGCAAACGGGCGAATCTTGATAATATTGGGTTAGACCATTGTTTCTTAGGGCATGGCAAGCACAAGGTGGACATCAAAATGAAAAACTAAGAAAAACTATGTGCTGTAAATGAGTAGGCGAAAAGACAACCCATAGAGTGGGAGAAAATAGTTGCAAAACATAAGGGATTTGTATTGATAAAGAACTCTCACAACTCAACAATTAAAAGACAACCCAGCTGGACGTGGTGGCTCACACCTGTAATCCTAGCACTCTGGGAGGCCGAGGCAGAGGATCATTTGAGCTCAGGAGTT